TTAAAATGAAGTCATTTTATTTAAAAAAAATGAAATGGTGAAATATATCTCAATAGAAAACATAATTATTTTTAACCGATAGAAGGACAGATGCTGTTAATTGGAGCACAGTGATGTGATTTTTGTGTGTATTTAAGACAAATCATGCTAGTTAATATAAAATTTGATGCCGATTTTTGCCAAGAAATGTATGAAAAATCAACAAATTTCTATAATATATATTGAGATTTTTGATAAAATATTTAATTTTATATAGTATATACCGTACGATCGAGAAAAAACGGCGTCAGCGATGGCTATGGAATGAAGATCGCTGTCATTTTATATGTAAATTTATATGGGAAATGTCATCGATGTTCATTTCCCAGCCAACTGGACGCCATTTTTTTTCGATCAAACGGTATTATTTACTTTTATCATAGCATAAATACAACTACATCCATGTTTATGTAACCCTAACGACAGGAATAAAGTGCGACGAAATAAAGTGCATGATGCATTTGCAAAAATAGCTGAAGAAATGGGCATTGACCATCAACGAATAAAAAAAAAAGGAAAGAACATTTCTTCTAAACCTATCGTAGCTATCGGAGAAAAGTATTATTTATACAAAAATCAATATATCAAACCAATATGGTACCCATACTTTTAGATGCTTTTCTACGTGGAATATACACGCCGAAAGGAACACTCGACACACTGGTAAGACACACAATTATTAAAAGATTTATTTTTTGTTAACTGTTAATTACCTATCGCTTCAACCATGATATAAAATTTTGTCCTCTTATGTAAAATTTGATGCCGATTTTAGTCAAGAAATGTATGAAAAATCAACAAATTTATATAATATATATTGAGATTTTTCATAAAATATTTTAGTATATTTTATAGTATATATTGTATAGTGTATAGTATATTTTATTTACTTTTATCATAGCATAAATACAACTACATCCATGTTTATGGAATCCTAACGACAAAAATAAAGTGCGACGAAATAAAGTGCATAAAAAACTAGATGCCTTTACAAAAATAGCTGAAGAAATGGGGATTGACCATCAACGAATTAAAAAGAAAAGGAAAGAAAATCTCTTCCAAACGTATCGTAACTATCCGAGAAAAGTATTATGTACACAAAAATCCGGAGCAGGTGCAACGAGATATATAAACCAACATGGCACCCATATTTTTAGATGATTTTAAAGTGGAATATACACGCCGAAAGGAACACTAGATACACTGTACACACAATTATTAAGTAATTAAAAGATTTATTTTTTGTTAACTGTTAATTACCTATCGCTTTAACCATGATATATTCGAAATATTTATTGGAGTCGTTCAAGCAAGAGGTTTTCATGTCAATTCAAATGCTCGAGAGTTTAAATACCGCCTAAGCTTACATTTTAGGCAGAAACAAAGGGTCATTTTCGGATGCCGGAAATATTGAACTAGACGAGGCAAATGATTTAGATGTTCATAAAGAGGGCCAAACCAAACCAACCACAAGTGAACCATTTTCATGAATTTTTCTTTGACGAAGCTATACAACCGGAAAGGCGCACTCGGGTAAAGAGAGATATAACCAAATATGGCATGAAAAGAGAAAGATTATATCTTTACAACGTCAAATGTTGTCCTCTAATGTAAAAGACAGAAGGCTATCAGTAGATAAAGATTTTTTTGAAATATGGGAAAAGAATTTCATCTAAAAGCCATTCAACATGGAAAAAAAGAAGAGGAAAATGCAAAACGTTTGTATACAGAGAAGCCCAACCATAAGGTCCACACGTGTGGATTAGTAATACATCCGTATGCACTACATTTAGGCATAAGTTCTAATGGTGTAATAATGATAAGTCCTAGAAATGTAGGGCTTGTTGAATTTAAATGCCTTTATAGTGATAAGGTTGATCATTTAAATGACTTATTTAAGATGAAGTCATTTTATTTAAAAAAAAATGAAATGGTGAAATATATCTCAATAGAAAACATAATTATTTTTAACCGATAGAAGGACAGATGCTGTTAACTGGAGCACAGTGGTGTGATTTTTGTGTGTATTTAAGACAAATCATGAAATAATGCTAGTTAATATATAATTTGATGCCGATTTTTGTCAAGAAATGTATGAAAAATCAACAAATTTATATAATATATATTGAGATTTTTGATAAAATATTTTATTTTATATAGTATATTTTATTTACTTTTATCATAGCATAAATACAACTACATCTATGTTTCTGGGATCCTAACGACAAGAATAAAGTGCGACGAAATAAAGTGCATAAAAAACTAGATTTCTTTACAAAAATTGCTGAAGAAATGGGGATTGACCATCAACGAATTAAAAAGAAAAGGAATGAAAATCTCTTTAAAACGTATCGTAACTATCGGAGAAAAGTATTATGTATACAAAAATCCGGAGTAGGTTCGACGAGATATATAAACCAACATGGCACTCATACTTTTAGATGCTTTTCTAAGTGGAATATACACGCCGAGAGGAACACTCGATACACTGGTAAGACACAATTATTAAATAAATAAAAGATTTATTTTTTGTTAACGGTTAATTACCTATCGCTTCAACCATGATATATTCGAAATGTTTATTGGAGTCGTTCAAGCAAGAGGTCTTCACGTCAATTCAGATGCTCGAGAGTTTAAATACCGCTTAAGCTTACATTTTAGGCAGAAACAAAGGGTCATTTTCGGATACCGGAACTGGCTCAATATGAAACAAATGATTTCGATGTTCATAAAGAGGGCCAAACCAAACCATAGCTATACAAGTGAACCATTTCATGATTTTTTTTTGACGAAGCTATACAACTGGAAAGGCGCACTCGGGTAAAGGGAGATATAACCAAATATGGCATGAAAGGAGAAAGAATATATCTTTACATCGTCAAATTTTGGCCTCTTATGTAAAAAACAGAAGGCTATAGATGAAGACTTGTTTAAGAAAATATGGGAAAAGAATTTCTATCATCTAAAAGCCATTCAATATGAAAAAAAAAGATGAGGAAAATGCAAAACATTTGTATACAGAGAAGCCCAACCATAAGATCTACACATGTGGACTAGTAATACATCCGTATGCACCACATTTAGGCATAAGTTCTAATGGTGTAATACTGATAAGTCCTACAAATGTAGGGCTTGTTGAATTTAAATGCCTTTATAGTGATAAGGTTGATAATTTAAATGGCTTATTTAAAATGAAGTCATTTTATTTAAAAAAATGAAATATATAATTATTTTTAACCGATAGAAGGATAGATGCTGTTAAGTGAAGCACAGTGGTGTGATTTTTGTGTGTATTTAAGACAAATCATGAAATAATGCTAGTTAATATATAATTTGATGCCGATTTTTGTCAAGAAATGTATGAAAAATCAACAAATTTATATAATATATATTGAGATTTTTGATAAAATATTTTATTTTATATAGTATATTTTATTTACTTTTATCATAGCATAAATACAATTACATCCATGTTTATGCTATCCTAACGACAAGAATAAAGTGTGACGAAATAAAGTGCATGATACCTTTAGAAAAATAGCTGAAGAAATGGGGACCATCAACGAATTGAAAAAAAGGAAAGAAAATCTCTTCCAAACGTATCGTAACTATCGGAGAAAAGTATTATGTACACAAAAATCCGGAGCAGGTTCGACGAGATATATATATATAAACCAACATGGCACCCATACTGTTAGATGCTTTTCTAAGTGGAATATACACGCCGAAAGGAACACTCCACACACTTTTTATATGTTCACACGGTGTATTCAAACCCAACGTGAAATAAATATTACAGCCGCCATAATAATTCTTAATTGTTCCCACATTTTTAACTGCGAATCTACACGATAATGGCTTTCAAATTTGACGGGAAATTGAATATATCCCAAAGTGGTGAACTGATACAAAGAAAAAACAATTGTAAAAAGCGGAAGTTAATTAGTGTCTGGGTTTTTAGCCCCGGCCCCGGCGTCAGCCGCTTAAGCAGGCAACAGCGATCGTTGCAACAAAATGCATTTCACACGGCTTGATTTCCTGAACGCACACCGTAGGTAGTTATGAATCGAGCGGATATAAAACTCGTAACTGCGAGAAAAGTTTGTTGCACCACGGCTGGCTGGCTCCTTCTAGCGGCTCGACATTAAACAGACACTTCTGTAAGGTGTAGTAAATAAACAGGGTGTTTCTACTAACAAATCAACTCATCCTTTGCTTTTACACACAATTATTAAGTAATTAAAAGATTTATTTTTTGTTAAATGTTAATTACCTATCGCTTCAACCATGATTTATTCGATATGTTTATTAGAATCCTTCAAGCAAGAGGTCTTCATATCAATCCAGATGCTCTAGAGTATAAATACCGCTTAAGCTTACATTTTAGGCAGACACAAAGGGTCATTTTCGGATACCGGAAATATTGAACTAGATGAGACAAATGATTTAGAGGATCATAAAGAGGGCCAAACCAAACCAACCGCAAGTGAACCATTTTCATGATTTTTTTTTGACGAATTGACATTGGAAAGGCGCACTCGGGTAAAGGGATATATAATCAAATATGGCATGAAAAGAGAATATCTTTACATCGTCAAATTTTGACCTCTTATGTAAAAGACAGAAGGCTATAGATGAAGTTTTTTTTAAGAAAATATGGGAAAAGAATTTCTATCATCTAAAAGCCGTTCAACATGGAAAAAAAGAAGAGGAAAATGCAAAACATTTGTATACGGAGAAGCCCAAAATCTAGTTTTAGGTTTTTTATAAGGTCTACACATGTGGATTTGTAATACATCCGTATGCACTACATTTAGGCATAAGTTCTAATGGTGTAATACTGATAAGCCCTACAAATGTAGGGCTTGTTGAGTTTAAATGCCTTGATAGTGATTAGGTTGATAATTTAAATGGCTTAGAAGTCATTTTATTTAAAAAAAATGAAATGGTGAAATATATCTCAATAGAAAACATAATTATTTTTAACCGATAGAAGGACAGATGCTGTTAACTGGACCACAGTGGTGTGCTTTTTGTGGGTATTTAACCCAGATAGGCCTACCGTCCGTTTAAACATACACTTTACAAACTCTTGTAAAATAAAGATTCGGATAAACTTTGGTAGATGGCGCCACCAAGACAATAACCTGTTGATGTTTCTTCAGTAGATTTCCAATAAGTGGTTATTAGGGCGTGTTTTGAGCGCCAGAAATAATTTGTGAAATTTAGTGACTTCCAAGAGTAAAAAACATGGATAATTGGAGGTAAGAATTTTAGAAATATTATAATAATGAATTATTGTACATACATACATTTACATTAGTTTGGAAGTATAGTTTTATATTTAGGATAATTTAACCCAATAATTTTATTTTCTCATTGGTAAAATAACTTCAAAGTGTGGTGTTGGTTTAAACATGCGGTAGCATAAAGAGGTAATATAATGGAAAATATTTTTTTTCGCAACCACTAGGTTTATAATCGTCCAAAAATTCGAAAAAATTGCGCCGTGTGTGTATGCCTGTGCGGGTATGCATGTATGTGCGTGTATGTACATAATGTATGTGTCTCTATGTATGTGTGTGTGTTCCTCTTTTCTCCTATACCGTTCGGCCGATTTCGAACAAAATCGGTATGTAGGACTCTCTGTAAATATCTCTTATATATTTTTTAATATTTTTCTCTAAACTTAAATTTAAGGCAACGAAGAAAAAAATAAAAAATAGATTTTCTCAAAAACGGCTCTTTTGATTGCAGGAAGTGGAAGAAGCCGCTAAAACTGCATGAGATAGAAGAGATTCAAAATTTGAGTGATGAGACAGAAATACCTGACGGAATTGTTCTTTTTCCGCCAGATGGATGGAACACCGATGAGGATTCTGGCGACGAAAATACCGTTAGCTTAGATAACCTTCCTGGGAGCCAGCTAATGGCTGATGCTGAATTAATTTTTGATCGTCAGTCCCCTGATGGCAGGGAATGTGAAGGCGATAAAAACAGAGATGATATTCCATCAACATCTGTTAAACGTTTAAAAATGACTGAAGATGCTGATTCTCTTAGCAATCCTACAGGGGTGTTTGAGGATAATCATTATGATTCCGAGGATGAACTTCCCTTGGCAACATATTTACCTACCAATCAGCAACAGGCATTGCCAAACAAGAAGAGGAAAACACCTTTATATTCTTGGAAAAAAGAAGATATAAAACCTGACTTTTCAGACTGGAAAGAATATTATACAACCAAAATACGCAACGGCGGGAATATGGATCATATGGTTTTTCGAAGATGTCTTGCTGCTGCATTGCTGGAAACTTTTAAGAAAACAACAAAACGTGGTCCATCGAAGAAAAGTAAGCCATCCGAATCAAGATACGACAGGCTTGACCATCTGGTTATCTATCAAGAGAAGCAGACCAGGTGTGCCGTGTGCCACAAACAGGCAGCATTCCGTTTTGAAAAGTGCGATGTGGCGCTTCATCCAAAAACCTGTTTCCGAAGTTATCACACTAAACAATAAAAGTCTATTACAATTTCGTTTTACTTTTATGTTGTCATTTCAATGAAAAATCAAATTGTAGGTATATCCACATTTGGTTAAGTTGTAAAAGTAGTCCTAGTTCCTACCGTCCGTTTAAACATACACCTACTATCTCCAAATCTTTTATTTAAAATAAAAATATTTATAAGAAAAAAATGTTTCAAATAGCTTATCTAAACCGTCACTAAATTTTTATAAGGAAAAATAAAAATAAATGTTTCAGTAATATCTGGGTTAAGACAAATCATGAAATAATGCTAGTTGATATATAATTTGATAAGTTCTAGTTCTGTTTCTGCTGGAGGTATAGAAAATAATGGTCCAAATGACGATTTTGTAGACATCGATTTACCTGATGATGCCGATCAAGCTGGCATGACAAGAGCAGACTCCAATGACGAAGAATGGACCGATACAGAAGAACAGCCAACAGAGTTTCCATTTACTGGCATGAAAGATGTCAATGAACTGCCGCCGGATCCATGTCCAATTGATTACTTTATGTTATTTTTTGACAAGGATATTTTGGAGAAAATTACGAAAGAAACTAATAGAAGGACCAACACAGTATTTACTTCTAAAAAAACAAGGTCAGTTTCAAATGATTTTAAAAAACCTTAGATTTGTAAATCATGCTAATATGGACGAGAACGACAAGTTATTCAAAATTCGGCTTATTTTAGAAAAAATACTGCAAAATTGTAAAGAAGTCTTCAGCCCTGGACAACACTTGTCAGTTGTTGAAGCTATGATTGGTTGGAAAGGTCGATTATCATTTCGGCAATTTTTATCAAATAAATACCATAAATATGGCATAAAATTGTACGAGCTAACAACGGATGATGGCTTTGTTCTAAACATTATTGTTTACACGGGAATCAGTTGCCGAAAATTCCACGCATTCTGAAAGTGTAGTAAAAGAACTGATGACAGATTATTTAGAAAAGGGTCTGTGTGACCCTTTTCAAGGTCAAGGTACACTGTATGTGTACCTTAACAATTTTTACACCAGTGTCTCGTTGGCTGAAATTTTACATAAAAGAAAAACGGCCATGGTAGGAACCTTGCGGGAAAATAGAAAAGGAAATCATATGAGAACTACGAAAGCCAAGCTAAAGAAGGGCGAAGCAGTTTGGAAAAGAAAGGTGTTTTAATCACCAACTGGAGGGACAAAAGAAATGTTGAGATGATAAGTACTGCTCATAAACATTCCATGATCGAAATTCAAGGCAAAAGAGCTAATAAAAAAATAAAACAGGCATGCGTAATCGATTATAACAAACACATGTCGGGAATCGAGCGATTAGACCAGATGATGACTTAGGTCGGATTCTCACCAGATCGGACCGACTCTAATCGTCCAGATTTCGATCGCGCGACGAACATCTTGCACCTAATAGCAAATGGGTACGTGTCCACTGACAAGATTTCAGTTGTGACCGATTTTAATCGGGCGATATTAGTCGTACGCGACGCTGCTTGCAACGTCCTTGGTCGGCAGTTGGGTCTGACAACCTGTTGTACATATACTAATTCAGTATGCCCTCGGAAACAATTTCTACTTAGTTTATTACCAGAAGTGGCTGATCTACCGGAAACTAAATTTAGAATGTTCAAAAGAAGTGTGTTTGGACTTCTGGACAACCTCCACCAGCCTGAAAACCCTGCGTCATCCCATCCACCTATGACAACAAACCCTGCGTTATTCCATCCACCTATGACACCAAACACTACGCCATCCCCTTCAGAGCCACGAGGGATGATGACACCATGATATCATCACCCGAATCTTTATCATTGCAAGTTTATGATTCCATCAGAGGTACTAGCTCGGAGATACCTTCAAATTTCCCGGCCACGTATTGAATGTAAGTTAATAATATAATAATTAGCTAAGAAATATATACATACCTTAATGTTATGAGAACTCTTTCTTCCACTGACACACATTTTTTGTAATTTGTATCTCGTTTGGAAATATACGCCCGCACAATGTTACATAGGAAGTTAAAGCTGTCTTTCGACATACGGTATATAGCTTTGAACTTGTCGTCATGGTATGCCAATTTACGAGCGCAAATGAAAGCGGCTCTGTTTTGGTTTTCCGCTATGTACGGATGTACCCAAAACCGGCGACGACGGCGGCGTCTTCGTCTTCTATACGCGAGTGCTACAACAACTTCGCCTTCACTTGACAACATCTTGGAGGAGACTAGGTATCTCCACTTTAAAATAAATTTGAGCATAATCATTCCGATGCAATCCGATGAACACATTCAATCGATTTCGGTCGGAACACAATCGAATCGATCTGGATCAGGACGATTATGGTCGGTCCGATTTAGTGAGAATCCGGCCTTACTATTCTACCCCTCGTAAAACCGTTAGATGGTATCGTAAGATGTTTTTTTCATTTGATAGATTTGTGTGTTTGGAATGCCTGCTACATTTATAATTTGCATCAAAACAAAAATATCAGGCTTTTAAACTTTCGGGAACAAGTAATAATGAAACTAATTAATCAGCCAGACAATTTGCAAGTAGAAAATGAGATTGAAATTAAAGAGAAGTTCCACTTTTTAGAGTCAAATCCTCGTACAGAAAAGGAAAAATGCATGACAAATGACCTCTTCTTACACCTCCAAAACTGAATCCAGTAATAGAAAAAACTTAGCAGAATTAGCAGTTTTTACTCTCAAAAACGACTTAAAAGAAGAGGTGCTAAAAGCACCAGTTAAACAATGGCTTTTCGGTAAGGATTTACAGGATCGAATTGAAAATTATCGATCGATATCCCAAGGTCAAGTTTGGGCCTTACCGAGTTGAAGAATTCAGGCTCCCTAAATCGTACTGTATCACAGCCAAAAAACTTCAGACGTCTGTCTCGAGACCAGAGGTCGCGCAGGGCCGGACAATGCTATCAGCAACCAAGGAATAGCCATCACAAACAGCTCTTCCAGAACTAGAGGACTCACAACATAGTCGGAACCCACAAGCAACCAGTATGAAAAGCCCGATATCACCATTAGATATCCAGGTTCGAATTTATTTCAAAGTTTAAAGAAAATGTCTTGAAAAATCTGGAATCTGATCCAATAGGTTTTAGTCCAGCCACCAAAAAATTATGAAAGATGAACTGACGAAAGTTCTCACTGGCCAATTTGGATGGAAAAACGTTTTCGATGTAAATATCCCAACTGCTCAAGGTGCAGATCACACTAAATGTCCAGCTGCCGTATGTTTTAAGAAAAATAAAAATTGTTTTCGAAATTTTCATAATTAATTTCTTTCTGAATAAAGGTTACTGTAATAAATGTGTTTTATTTTCAAAAAAAAGTATTCTTGAGTGCACTATAGCATATATGCAACACTAAAAAAAAGACTCAAATAATATTTTTTCTTAACCATGATTTTTTTAGATAATTTTTAGTGTTTCCTAGAAATACTAATACATATATTTGAAATATATTTTTGATTAAAAAAATAAAATGGCGCATTCAAGGGTTAAAATATTTTTTGATGATAAATTGATGAGTCTAATAATCATGAACAGCACTAATAATCACTTCAGCATAACAGTGAACTAACTGTATCTATAGAGGAACTGTTTTTTAGTCGTTCATCAGGCTATGGAAAATATACAAATAAAAGAATGTATTGGTCCAGTGATGAAGACGTACTTAAGATTTTTCAGAATTCAATAATGATGAAAAAATACTTAGATTTTTTCACTTGAATGATAGTACCCACCGAAATATAGATGACCGATTATATGCATTCAGGCCATTTATAGAACAATTAAATCTGAACTGCAGAACTCATGATTTCAACATTGTTCAAACAACGGATTTATGTACGGAGAAACTATATGACAAGTTAAATTAAAAAAAATATATGACAAGTTTAATATGCGGGTAAAGATTCTTCTAAAGAAAAAAATGTTTGGCATTAGTGGTGATGTGGTTATGTCTTTGTTGTTACGGGTTCATTTTCTCATTAGATTATTTTCTTCATTTTGACAATAACTTAGTCCTAAAATAAATAGTAATAATATATTTTCTTCCTAGTTACCTATATTTGATTAACTTACTAAGTATAATTATCTAGTTCTCAATAAAATTGTAACTGCTAATTTAACTTGTCATATAGTTTCTTCGAGTTAATATTTTGCATTGTACGAGTAAAATTTCTTCGGTGTAGCCTTACAGTTTTTGGATATATTCAGCTGTTGGATATATCATTAGATCTCTTTAAATTTACCATTTTCTGATATTTTCACAAGCAGATTGGATTTATTTCTTCTTGTTTATAACTAGTAGTTGTTAACAAACCTCTCAACCTGAAATATTTTGATGATAAATTTTCATAAACATTAGTCGTTATGTAATTTTAGCTTTGGTATATATTACTCAACTTTCTAATAGGTCCAGTTTTATTGATTTATTGATATATTGGATATTTTAGAAATATATTTTCGATTTTCCAATGGTTTGTTTATATGTCAATTTTGATGCACTTAAAGTTCACAGATTGTAGGTTATTTGGAGTTTTTCTTCTTAGAATAATATTAGGATTTTGTAAATTCGGTCGAAATAAGTCGCCTCAGATTAGTGATACACAAAATTATATATGATTATTTGTTAGATACTTTCAACTTTAGTAAATATTGTTGGTAGTACTTTTAAGTTTTCAAATAACTGATTGAATTTTTGACGGTTGTGAATTTTTCGGTTAAATATGGTAAAATGGTCGCATAAAAGTTTGATTTGATTAAAATCGTTAATCATCTATTATGTAGAATTATAAATTAAGGTCCATTAGTGGTAATTATTTCGGGTGATTTGTGTGGAACCGAATTTTACCTCCACTTGTTGGGATTAATACCAGAGTATAATCGAATAAAAAGAAACCCTTCAGACAGAAGGTTTTTTTGGGGGGCCTTTTAGTCCATTTTATTTTCACTTACGTACTTCATCCAGAGATATAGAAGGTAGGAGAATGAATCGACGACTGCGCATCCACATTTTTATTTTTGCCTAGTGTCCGCCATTTTGAAGGCGGCTTTTGACAATTTTGACATTACCCCTACATGTGTCGGTTTGTTTGTGGTTTGTTTTTAATATTTGGTTTGTTTCTCGCTGTGTTTATTTGATTTTATTGTATTCCTTTTTGTTTATAATTGAAACAGTGTACTTTAAACGTGTTTTTGTGAATTAAGTTCCTTTAGTGACTA